GTTTTATGTACTTGTCAAGAAAATAGAATCAAATGATCGATTATCAAAAATGCACACTTGATCTTCAACTAAACAAGCTCTACACAAACTTGGACTCGACTCTATTTACAAGAATAATTGCCATTACCGAACAATACCTCTCCCAATTTCGATAAATTTTGCAATCGAGAAATAGCAATGTTCAGTAACTCACATAACAAAAATATTGTGTTTATAGCAATCAAAGGTCAGCATCTACTACTATCATTATCATTAATTATCGTCATCATCATGAATGTCAGCAAAGAAGGGATCCTTAAGAAGATCGGATGCCGAAGGTCTAGCCCTAGGCTGTGCAAGACACATCTCGATGAATGCCTTCACTTCGGAGTCTTTGACTTTATCCAAGGCACGAGGCCTCACCCCGGATGTAACCTTTTTGTATATCTTGGCAACATTGTCACACTCGTTGTAGGGTAATTCTCGAGTCACCATCTCAAGCAAGCACATCCCAAATGAATAGATATCAACCAGCTCTGTGTAATTCTCCTCGTATAGCTCTGGTGCCATGAATTCAGGTGTTCCGAGTAGTGAATGTGCTGCGTGGCTCTTCCCAACCATTGTTGCCAACCCAAGGTCACCAATTTTCACCTATTTAGGTCAAACATGATAAATTAATTACAATTCATCAAAAAATAAATAAAATAGCGATATATTTCTCAGTAAACGACACTATTTATCATGGTAATTCATAGCGGGTTAAACAATAGCGATATATTTCTCAGCTACCAAACATAACCCGACTCTCAATAAACGAAAAGAGAACTAGCAACTAAAGCATTTACAATTCCATTATTTTCCTAATTTTCCTCATCAATGAAAGAGATCGTTAAGACATAAATCACGATTATTTAGCATACCTGACCGGTGTTACCATTAATGAAGACATTGCTACAGTTGAGATCTCTGTGAATGACACAGGGCTTGTGAGTATGCAAATAGTCTAAGCCCTTGAGAATTTGCTTAGACCACTTCTTCAATGCCTTGATCGACACGTGTTTGTGCTTTTTCCTGTACTCCCTCAAATCCCCCGAAGTACAAACCTCAGTAATGAAATTCAATGTGTTTTTCGCTGGATCTCTCCACACAGAGTACAACGAGATAATATTTTTGTCCTTAAATTTCCTCAACAACTGAACCTCGGAGTATAACCGGTTGATCATTGCTTCATCATTGGAAAATTTTCGTAATTTGACTTGGTTCCAAGCCACCTCAATGCCTTCTTCTTGATCAAATGCTCTGTACACCCTTTTCACCGCCCCGGCACCAAGAAGCTCATCGTACCGGCCATATCGTCTGGTTGGGTCGACCTCCACGAACTTTTCCCCATCGTCCTGATCCGCAGTATCAGAATCCATACTCGACATCTAGAGTACCAAAAATAAAATCACATGATTCAATAACACTATAGGAGAATATAATATCAGAATATATAAATAGGGCTATTACAAATCAAAATGCTTACAATATGCTTCACGCACAAAATGTGGGATTTATGATTTCTTTCTTAAATCTTTTGGACATTGTTGAACCTTAATTTTAACTCTCCGAATCTTGATTTTAGTACTTAATAGAAAAACCCATAAAAACATAAATCCTAAAACTTATCTCCCAGAAGCTCAATATTTACAGTACAAACCAAGAAAATTAAAGCGCAAATAACTCAATGTTTTCTATTTAATTATACAAAACCTACATTAACTATAATCACCAAAATCACCCTCGTTAACAACAGAAAATAGAGACATAAATACAAGAAACTAAAAAAGAAACAAAAAACGAAATTGATAATTACCATATTACGCAAAACCCGCTAGAACCCTGGAGTGTTTTCTGAAATCAAAGCTCTTTTACTTTACCAAACTCAACGGAGCAGAAAATAAAGTACGAATAATGAGAAAAAGGCTGCAAGATTGAAGGGTGGATATATATATACTTGTAAAGCAATAAGGGCTTGAATTTCACGGTTAGACTAGGACTAGGTATAATTTTAGTAATTAAATAAAGGGAGAATCCTTGTTTGATTCGGCTTATAAGATAAGCCGTCAGCTGTGGGGAAGTTCTTATTGCTTGAGGGAGAAGGAATCTTTGTGGATTCTAATAAGGATTCACTCTACCCTTGTTTCGTAAAATTTAAAAGAGAAGATTCTTTGGAAGTTAAGGGGGTGTTCTCTTTGTGTTTCAAAAATGCGTTCTGTTTGCCATTCTGAAAAACTGTTTCTGAAAACATGAAAATGGAAAACGCGTTTACTTTGAAATTTTGAGAATTTTTTTAAATAATATTTTATTCAAAAAATCTGATTATTCAATAAATTTTAATGGTTTAATGTTTATATAGTATTGAATAACATATAAGTTTTGTAGTTGGTGAAACTTCAAATGTTTTTTTTCAGATATTAAAAAAAACATAAATTACATTTGACAAAACAGTTCAATCGATAAGAAGTTTACGTGTCAAATTACTGATGTTTTATTTATCTTTCTAGGCAAACTACTGTTGTTTTATACTTAAAAAGCTTGACCCTTGTTTTTCTTAAAATTTATTTTTCCTCAAATTCATTTTCAATTACATATTCATCAACTTTCAACCATATATTCACAACTTATTACCCAAAAAAAAAAATCAAAATTTTTTCAAAACCAAACAAAGACATGGTAAAAATACCGGCGTTAAATTGTCCCTTGCATTCTCTAACTTGAATTTTATCGACTTTGTTAGCTAAACCAAACGGGGGCTTAACAATACAAGTAACAAACCACCAATATATGCCAAAACAGGTAAACAATTCACTGCAATAAAAACAAAACTTGATCAAGTATCGTGTCCAATTGTATAAACAAACGGTCCCTCAATAGAATGGTAGACTTAAAAAGACAGAAGCAAGCACTCGCATCTCCTGAGAAATTCACAGAACAAATTACTCTTCAATCCCAGCCTCCTTGCAATGTAATCAAGAGATCCATCACAGTTTCTCCAGCTGAATTTTGTTTCGATAACAACTCTGTCAATTCTTCCTCTATAGTACCATTGATAATTTCCCTTATGGCAACAATATTCCCTGCTCTAGCTGCAGAATGCAATGTAGTATCGTCTCGCTTCCCTGTCAATTGTTTCGTCATCTTTTTTCCGGGTGGTGATGGCTGATACAAAATTGTAAGAAGACAAAATTCACGAAATATCTTACTGTCCTTGGAACCACGTATTAACGTCTGGTTTGCATCCTGTTCACTCTGTCCTTTCTATTACCTTATTGCATTGTTATAACAGCTATCTTATTGCTTGTTGGCATAGGAACACTAGGACTAGGAGCCATAGAACTCAGGCAACACTCAAGAGCACCACTTCCTGTCTGATAATAGACATCACTTTTACAAAGAACATTCCTGATTTTCTAATAAAAATGTATACATTTTATTCTCACTGTTCCTTACAATGATCTCCGATTATTATGGCGAGATTTTGGCATGACATCTTTCATTTTCTTAGACAGTACAAAATCTCATCCTGCATAAACATTAAAATGAACGAATCTTTGAAGTGCACTGAAATATCTTCCATTAAATCCACATTAGTCACCAACCCACTGTTATTTCCTGGATTATGGTGATAATTAGATAAGATATAGGACCTCTCTATTTGATGATACAGTTAACAACATCTAATCAGATGTTTGTGAGACATAAACCCATCATAAGCTCAACAGGGTTACAAAGGTGCAATCTAAAAACTTCTCTATTTGTTTTCCTCTTTCTTTCTCAACCAGAGACAGTTCACCAAGAATATGAAATTCAATAAATTAAGGTGCAATCTAAAAACTTCACCAACTAAAAATAAAAATGTGCAGTTAAAGTAGGGGGAAGTCTAATATAATATCCAACTTTTTGTCCAGAATTTTGGTGGTGGGCACCTTGGTTTCTTCTCTTATATCTTCTTGAGAGCTAATATATGAAAGTTCAGACTGGTACTTTGCTTGTTAGAATAACTTAGATAACTATTGCACTCAACATCAAAATAAAATGTGGAAGGTACTCCCAGCATAACCAAATTTATTTTAGCTTATTATAAAACCGAGTTTCTCTGAATCTTAAACCAGGCAGGCAAGTTTCAATTGAAGCTCATTGGCATGTTTAAGAATCACACAAATGGATGGTACAGAGAAAAATATATCTTCAAACAAATTTTTGCTTATGAATAAATCTAATATATGTGACCATTCAGGCTTCTGTATTGGTGATCCAATTGCTAGGAAACTAAAAAGGGAAAGCAATTCTGCAGCTCCACAACTTACAAAATCGTTAAAACTAAAGATTACCTTAGCTGTAAAATTGGCCTTGCCCCATGGTGGGGCAAGGTACACAAGGTGAAGAGGATGCTAACCCATGTGGTCCGCGATCGTGGGACAGCCGGACGGCGCCAGAGTAAAATTGGCCTTGACCCATGGTTGGGCAAGGTACACCAGGTGAAGAGGATGCTAACCCATGTGGTCCGCGATCGTGGGACAGCCGGACGGCGCCAGAATTTACAAAACTCGAATCCTATTGCGCGGACCCTGTTGCAGTGGCTGATGAATGGTTGAAGGTGAGAGAGGGGAATGAGATGAGCTTGTTGATGGTGGAATCCGGCGGTGAGGCTAGGTTGCTTCTGCTGATACTTCCAATTGGTGGTGGAAGGATTGGAGGTAATAGAGGGGAGGGAGCGAGGTTGTTTGTGCTGATTTTTCCAATTTCAGTTTTCAGCCGGTTGTTTTCCGCGTTTTCAAATTTTTGTGTTTTTGGCTTGAAAACACTGAAAACAACCAAAAGGTCGTTTTCCGTTTTCTGTACAAAATTTTTTTTTGTTTTCAAAAATGTGTTTTCGAAAATGGAAAAGAGAACGCGTTTTCACTGTTTTGAAAAATCGAAAACAGAAAACGACTTGAAAATGACAAAGAGAACGCCCCCTTAGAAAAATTTTTACCAAACAGGCTCTAACTATAATCACCAAAATCACCCTCGTTAACAACAGAAAATAGAGACATAAACACAAGAAACTAAAAAAGAAACAAAAAACGAAATTGATTATTACCATATTACGCAAAACCCGCAATTACCATATTACGCAAAACCCGCAAGAACCCTGGAGTGTTTTCTGAAATCAAAGCTCTTTTACTTTACCAAACTCAACGGAGCAGAAAATAAAGTACGAATAATGAGAAAAAGGCTGCAAGATTGAAGGGTGGATGTATATATACTTGTAAAGCAATAAGGGCTTGAATTTCACAGTTAGACTAGGACTAGGTATAATTTTAGTAATTAAATAAAGGGAGAATTCTTGTTTGATTCGGCTTATAAGATAAGCCGTCAGCTGTGGGTAAGTTCTTATTGCTTGAGGGAGAAGGAATCTTTGTGGATTCTAATAAGGATTCACTCTACCCTTGTTTCGTAAAATTTAAAAGAGAAGATTCTTTGGAAGTAAATTAATTTTGTAAGTAATTTTCTTTCTACGATATTTTAAGTCCCATTTTTCTCTATTAAATTATAATTCATTTTTTTCTTCCATTTTATCAGTTACACATTTTCCAATAAAATAATATTGTACGTAAACTCAAGAACTTTTATACATTTTTAACCACACGTTCTCTAAATAATTATTATCCATCTCATTATAATCCTAAAATAATGGAGCTAGACGAGTGCTAAATGGAATCTACTTTTTTGGGTTAAATGCGATAAAAATTAAAGTTGGGGGACTATAATGTTAAGAAAAATGAAATTTTTTGTCCTCAACCTTTGTGAAATATAACCAAAGAAATTTATTTTATACATTTTTTTAACATAATTCTTCGTAATCATTCAATTGTGTAGTACGTCATTCCCTTCATCTTGGCTATTAAATGATAGGTTTAATAAATAAAAATAGAAAAAAAAATATAGTAAAACAACCGGAAAAAAGGGAAAAATTGCAAAGGAAGATGCACAATTTTTAAAAAAACACAAATAAATTCACTTAAAATAATTAAATACATAATAACACATGATTTTTACAAAAAAAAAAAAAAAGTCCCTTCTAGTCATTGTTTGTAGCATGAAAATGAAATGAGAGATATCGACTTAGAAATCTGAGTAGTATATGGGCGTTTCGATAGTAGAAATTTAACACCGACCCTATAATGGGTTGTGCTTTGATTTCTATTGTAAAAAATACTAGTCGGAGATGAGATATTAACCTAATAAAACTTGTCAGAAGGGGAGTAAAAAAGGGATTTGGGTCATTTGACCTTTCCTATATGTGTACTCTAAAAAGGAAAATGACATTTAAGTAATGCCTCGTTTTAACTATTTTTGTATTATCGTATCATATTCTGTCTTGTAAAATTTGAAAATTATCGTCAATACCTCAATGTAGATACAAAATAATCTTTTGTTCCAATGTCCCGAGAATTTACAATCAAGTAAAGTCTCTCTCTCTCTTTTTTTTTTTTTTGTTACTTTATTATCCATTAGTGGGCTTATGATTCTCATTATAAAGAGTAAAGAGTCCAAGTTGAGAAAAAGACAAAATATTATTTTTTAAAATCAAAATTTTTCTTTAATAAGTAGAATTAAAGGTCAAACATGGAATTGATAAGAAAAGACCGCTGTCCGTGGCTCCAAAAATGACGTCCCGACAATGGCTCAACGAGAGAACAGAGCCCCACACATCGGAACAAGAAGATAAGATGGAAATTAAAGATGAATTCAAGATAATTGTTAGGGTTTTAGAGTATATTCTTCTGTGTCTCACTGATTCATCCACTTTAAATCCAAACATAGAAATGGCAGTTTTATCGCTCTTTTCTCCCACATTTAATCGCTCAAACTCTTACATTCTACTCAATTTCTTCACCTCACTGCAAAATTTCTGTGGGGATTCACAGTTCAATTTAAAGGCTAAAGGAAGAATTAATAGAGTATATTGTAGGAAGATTCGGGTTGTGTCATCGCATTCCAACCCCAAAATTCTGAAGCGCAATCGCAAATCCAGGTATGGACAGCCAGTCTCGCCTTACGACAGTGAAGAAGATGTCGACGACGAAGACAGTGGTGGTGACGTGGATGAAAGTGATGACGATTGGATTTCTAATGTGAGTTTCTTTATTTATTTTCTTTTCAAATTCGATTTTTAATTGATTTTTAATGATATTTATGCTACTTTTAGCTCAGAAGAAAGGAATAGAATGGGTTTTCGGCTAGATATTGTGTTTGTGATTCTGTACGGACAATAAGCTTTTTCGGCTAAGATGTTGGATTATTGTAAAACGAAAAATAAACAGATGCAAAGTTGCAAGTCTAGAAATGAAATCTTTACTTGATAATCTGACCAAATCATTCAGAATTTAATTGTTCACTCACCTAATCACAATTTGAAGAAAATGAGGAGGAGAATCAACGTTCTGCTGCATGTCAATGTAAATTATGTAAATGTGGTTTCAAAGATGGACTTACTTGCACAATAGGAGCACTGTGGAATCTCGTTTTAAATATAAGTGATTATTGGTTTAACTTTCGCTTGAAGTGCAGGGGAGTGAAATTAATTTTACTATTTTGGTTTCTGGGATACAATTTCATAAATGTTTATGTTAAAGCCACTTGTAAATTTGAGAGAAAAGAGAACTCTTATCAGTTTGCCTCCGAATTATTGGTGCCATGGTAATTTTGTCGATGGACATCTGCAGTAATTACCTGTCAGTCAGTCACTGATGCAATGATAATAAAATTCACAATGTATTCAATTTGATATAGTTTATTTATTTGTCACAATCTGATGGACTTTTTTTTTTATCTGGGATACAGGATGAGTTTGCAGACATCAAAATTTCTGAAACTGATAGACAACGGTTAAAGATGCAGAATTCAACCAAGATGAAACAAGGTATTTGTAGTTCTTTGGGTGTTATCGTAGATTTTGAAGTAGAGTTATGTGAATGATGTGAAGTTCATGGTTCAGAGTCCACACTTTATTAGTAGAAGAAAGGGCTTGGACGTAAAGCCATTTGGCAACGAGGTCCAATTGTACATGCGAAATCCACTCTTAACTGGGTTTGGGTGGCAGTTGAAACAGTCTCACTCATTTTCACTGGCTATTTGTCTCCTCTCTCTACGATATTCTCTCTCCAATAGGTTTTTCAATATCCTATGAAGTTACTGTTTATCTCTAGTTTCATGGAGGTTTTCTGGCCTATGTTCTTTGGTCTACCTGATAGACTTAAAGGCTCAGTCCTCAGTGTTTGGACTGAATGAGTGCTGTATATTCTTGAGAGGTTTGAGAGGGTTATGGTGTTGTATCGTTGTGAACACTCGTGGACTTGAAGCTGCTGTGGTTGTGAGACAATGATTTGGTTCTAGTGCTGAGATTTGGGCTTCCACTGAGCTCCTAGATTAGGTCCATTTGGACTGAACTGTGTGACCATTTTTGGTGTTCTGTGTTATGATTTCTGCTGTGCTGGTGCAAATTTACTGATTTCCTGTGCTTGATACACTACAGAAGGGATAATTGACTTAAGGTAAATCTCATTGTGCAGGCAGTTGCAGGGATCTAAAGAGAGTTGGGGGTGCAAGCTCATCAAATTCTGGACAAAACCTCAAAACAAGGCAACACAAGTTGGGTATAAATAATGGCAAAGACATCCTTAAAAAGAGAGAGAGTGGCATTTCGTATAACAATTCCAGGCAATCAGCAAGCATTGGTTCTTTAGGTGATATCAGAGAAAAGGTAACAATCACCACTAACTGTTAAGTATGACTTTGGGTGGTAATGACTCCGCATATTGTTTATTTATTTTTATCTGATTGCACCAGGAAGCAGAAAGTTCTTCTAAGAACAGATTCTCTTATTTGTCAGAAGAACTAGACTTAGATGAAAGATGGTTTCCGCTTCTTGATTATTTGAGCACTTTTGGTCTTAAGGAATCACACTTTATTCAAATGTATGAAAGGCATATGCCATCCCTTCAGATAAATGTTGACTCAGCAGAGGAAAGATTGGGATATTTGTTAAGTGTTGGTGTCAAACATAGAGATATCAGAAAAATAATTTTGAGGCAGCCTCAAATTTTGGGGTACACCGTTGAAAACAATCTGAAGTCCCATGTTGCCTTTTTGGGTAGTTTGGGCATTCCAGAATCGAGAATAGGAAAAATAATTACTGCCACTCCATCCCTGTTCTCTTACAGTATCGATAATTCTTTAAGACCCACAGTCAAGTACCTTCTCGAGGAGATAGGAATCAAGACGGCAGATCTAAGTAAAGTAGTGCAGTTAAGCCCTCAAATTCTGGTTCAGCGGATAGACAATACGTGGAATATTCGTTACAATTTTCTGAGAAAAGAGTTGGGAGCACCAAGAGAGAGTATAGTAAAGATGGTCACGAAACATCCTCAAATACTTCACTACAGCATCGAAGACGGATTACGCCCCAGGATCAATTTCTTGAGAAGTATTGGGATGCGCAACTCTGACATACTGAAAGTATCAACTAGCCTTACACAGGTCAGCTGGATTTCTATGCAATTGCTTCTGTACCTCAAACTACTATTGGGTTGCTTAACCAACTTGTCCTCAATACTTTACCTTTTCATATGGATCTTCTTTTGCTTAACATCAGAACAAAATTGAATTTTTAGATGATTTCATCTGTACATGCAGGTATTCTCTCTATCTTTGGAGGGAAATCTGAAACCTAAATACATGTACTTGATCAATGAACTTAGAAATGAGGTCCATTCCCTGACCAAATATCCAACCTACCTAAGCTTGTCTCTAGACCAGCGAATTCGACCCCGACATAGATTTTTGGTTTCCTTGAAGAAAGCTCTGAAAGGGCCATTTCCTTTGAGTTCACTGGTTCCAACTGATGAAAGCTTTTGCCAGCAGTGGGCAGGAACTAGCTTGGACAAATATCTGGATTTTCGGAAGAGATTGCTGCTCAAAGAGTTTGCAAAGAAGTACGAAAGGCAGTGATGTCATTCTTATTACTAGTCTACTTGGTAGTGCAAGGGCCCATATTGTATACCACACAGATAGCAACAAATTGAGATACATACATTCTTTTCCTGAGAGCACTTGAGCATTTAGGTGAGTCAGATGTTCAAGAAACATACCATGGTAATTAAGCCTGCTTGGTATTAAACGTATTGACACATTTATTCTGAAGAAACATGTCTAATGGTACTCCGTTTTAAATCTATAACAGGTACTAGTCCAGGTTATTTCTAAATTTTACTATACAATTTTGCGAGGTATAGCAGAGTGCTTTTTACTAACTTCTGGTGATTCTATCAAAACAACATGACTGGAACTCATCATATCAAGGTTAGGTTTAATTCTTTCCAAGTTAAGCTTCTATTCTTATGTAAATGAATCCTATGATTTTCTTCCTTCATTTTGTTATTATGGGTGTGTTTGTATCCCATTATTGGGGGAAAAATAGAGTAATGAATAGTATTTTTTGGAGAATGTGTGGTTGAAATTTAAAGTAACTTTTGTTGGTTTGTGTATAGAATATTTTATTGGGTGAATGTGTGGTGGAGAATCTTACTGTAACAAACAATTTTTTGGAATAATGGTAAACAAACAGAGGCTATGTTTTTTGTGGGTCTAATAAAGTGGTAAAATAAAATAGCTGTATTGATTACGAGAAGTACGAATTTCATAATCGTTCCTTACGATCATCTACCTCGTTTTATTTAAACAGAAATTCTATTGTTTGCCTCTTCTTGGACAGGTTGGTTATTTCATTTCAACTCGTTAACAAAAAAGATATGCAATAGCTAGTCTTGGTGGCTGCTGATTTCTTGCTGAAGGATTCTTTTGCTTTCGTCTCTTTGAAAACTTCCTATCTTTTATACTTACATAATACGGGTATGCTTTTCCCTGTTGCACTGCCTTAACAACTGCCAACGTGGACGTTGATGGCCGTAAGAAGATGCCAGTTATTGTCATTTCCCATTTCTTTTGGTCTTTTCAATATGGGCATGATTAAATGTATCATAAAACTCATATAAACTTGAGGGAAAAATGACCTTGTTGTGCATTTTGTTGTATTATTTGTCTTCTTTCTTGTGCTTGGTTTGTAATGTAACTTGGAGATACTTCTTAGCTATGAAAATTATTGTTCATAATCAAAATGTTGGAGAAGTTATTTATGTTATTTGTTGTTCATACTTGACTGCAGTACACAATATCGTCAACAAGTTAAAAAGTGTGTGAGTTCGAGTATTATTCACTTATGTTCTTCACGTCTTTATAAGCTAAGTGTCATTGCTGCAAGATTTTGTGCTCTACACCGTGTATCATTTTTATAATTCTCTTTCGGATCTTCAGCATGTTTAGAAAGTGATCTTTACCGAGCAGTTAACCATATTATCCATGCTTTTGTCATGAACGCCGTCGATTTGAACATTAGAATGACACGTGACCTCAAAGCATTAGGGTAAAAATATCTCATTTTCACGAAATCAAAGAAAATGAGGAAGAGTTTCTCTTTCGTATTGGGAGTTCCTTTAAGAAGAAATAGCAAATGAGATTATTGTTAATAGGCCAGAAGCACTATTAACAAGCAATCTTGCTATGCTGCTATGGAGAGTTTGAAACCCTCAATGACAGCACACTCACAATAGGGGAGCATTTTTTATTTTTGAATTTTTTAATTCACATAAGTCTCACACGGATCGTACGCTCATGTGAGTGTATGTCAACAAATGTGGCAAAATGATTCCGGCAAACCAGCTTAATTCATTACCAAGTCTTTCCACAAATAGATTGACAAAGATGACAGCAATTTTCCTTTACTCCATCCATGTCAGCTTAAGATTCGATTGAACTTTTAGTTTAGAAATAATTTGACTGGCTTGTTAACTAGAAAAACATACCAAGGTTTAATTTTAAATTTCACTAGCATGCACGCATATTTAAAAATGTGCGTCCAAAGTCTTGTTATAATTAATTGTAGAAATTTTCATTATTTTCTTCATGAACTTTGCTACATTTGACTGAATTAAAAGAAAAAAAAAAAGGGATACACGTGTCCAATACTGATTGGACAGTTTAAATAAAAGAAAAAAGAAAAAACACTCAATCCAATTCTCATTTTCAATCACACATTCTTTAATAAAATAATATTTTTCATCACATCAATAATTTTTTCTTCTTTTTCAACCACACATTTCCCAACATATCACTATTCAAAAATCAATTCTTCCCCCAAAAATCTCTACCAAACAAGCACTTATTCTTTCTTCATAATGGCATTTCAGGCATATGAATCAAAAAGTAGTTAGGGGTGATTGTGATATTCAAAAATACATCTTTCAATAAAATAATATTTTTCATTATATCAATAATTTTTTCTTCCTTTTCAACCACATATTTCACATCATATCGCTATTCAAAAATCAATTCTTCCCCCAAAAATCTCTACCAAACAAGCACATATTGTTTCTTCATAATGGCATTTCAGGCATATGAATCAAAAAGTAGTTAGGGTTGATTGTGATATTCAAAACTAGAAATATGGAATGTTAGAGGTGTCTTTAATAGTCTCTTATAACAAATTTTATAGTTAAATCGTAATTATGAATTTAAATAAATATGTGACATTTTTTATGAACTTTTACATAATTATATGAAACCCTGGGCTGTGCGGCATTGCAATAATAATTACCTATATATTATATACAATAGGTAATTGTATATTTAACTTTATAAAAAGGATATTTCTCATTCATATTATGATGAATATTAACTTTTAGATTTAACATATAATATTATTTTATCATCTTTTTCATTTAGTAATATCTAGATTAGGCAATAAATTTAGTTATAAATTGTTTCATAAACGTTATAATAAATTTTTCATACTTGTTCAATACTTACAATAAAGTACTAAAAACAATATTACAATAATAATAACTAGAGGTGGTATTTTTGTTCCCGGAATCGGACCGGAACCAAATAGAACCGGTTGGTTCGACTTCGATTTCTCTACTAATTTGGTCGATTTGGGGGCCTTATCGAGAACCCACCAGTTCCGGTCTGATTCTTAAACCGCCATGAGAACTAACAATGAATTCGGTTCTTCTGAATTTCTCTTTTTGCTTACACCTAGATGCACTAGATCATTAAATACTTATCGACATCTCATGGAAAGAGTCGATGGGCTCTTCTAGTCTCTCGAGTAACCGATGTTGTTGGCCGATCCGCACTATGAATTCTTGTTGTTCAATAAGGAGTTCCTTCTTCCTCTCTTCTATACTTACTAATGGCGTCCAAGTGACGTCGTTTCTCATCTTCTATGGTTTCATCAGGACCACCACCAAACCTATCTAAAATTACTACCTTTTTCTCATGTTGAAGCTTCTCTTGTTCCAAAAATTGTACCATTTGTGGAATTTATTCAACGTCTTTCATTGAATTAATGAATATCCGGATTCATAGTTAAAGTTATCTCTTGTTGATTTCTTGGGCCGGCCTCTCCTTACCAAATGGAGACCAGAAAACACTTCTATTTATAAGCGTTGGAGTCCTTTAACACTTTCATTAAATAATTTGTACTGAATCGTCTTTATTAAATTTTTGGATAAACTTTATTATATTTTTTTATTAAGTATCCAAATCTATAATATTTATGTTCATTAATTTTAAAATGTTGACAGTGTAACATTATTTAATAATTTATAAGCCCTTGTTTGGCCCTCATTAAATTACCTTAAATTTTTTTTTCTCTTCATTTTAACCACACATTCATCAAAAAATAATATTACACACAAATAAAAAAAAATTCAATCACACATTCTCCCATCAATCACTATTCTAAAAATTTTCAATCTCAAAAAATGCAAAATAATGGGGGCCAAACAGGAGCTAAATATCAAGTTAATTTAAACTCCAAAATAGTAAGTTATAGGTTTCTATATAAATTTTGTTATTTTAATAATATTATGAAAAGAAATTTTGTTATCTCATTTGAGAATTTATTAAGTTTTGTGGGTTTATTTTTTGGACTGTAATGAATTTAATGTTTTAATGAGTTTCAAATTATTAGTTAGGGTATTCAATAGAGCGCATCAAAAGAATGAGAAGTAAGAAAAATTCGTTTGAAAACTTCATCGATCGATACTAATATGATCATGTAATTAACGTCCCCCGTAATATGGTGGCTAGTGTGAGAAGATATCAACTGTGAAAGAGTAATGCTGTTTAGAACAATTAGCGTTTAACATCGGTGTAGGTAACATTAATTTACACGTTCAATTATATATAAGAAATTATGATCATTTAATGGGACGTTGGATGTTGTGACACTTACACTGATGTTCAATATTAATAGTACTAAATAACCTTATTTATTATGAAATTCATTTTTTAAAAGTTATGATACTATATTTAGCCCTTTATTGATTCTCATTATTTCAAAACTCATTTCTAATAACACATTCTCGCAATAAAATATTTTGCAAGTGAATTCAAAAAAATTTCATACTTTTTAACCGCACATTTTCCAAATATTCACTATTATAAAACTTATTTTGATGAAATAATAAACATCAAACAGGGGCTAAGAATAATCCCCCCATTTCTTCACGCACATAGGTTGCTATACTGAATTGATACGATCGGATTTTTCTTGTCGATTTTTTTATTATTTATATTTCAACAAGACTGAAGGCTAAGCTTAAAAAAATATTTATGAATGCATAAGCAAGTTTCATTAGCAACTAGGAAGAAAAAAATTTTAGTTCAACTTTGTCTTCAATCAACTATAATCCTAGCTCCGTTCTTTGTTGACACGAATTTTAAACATAGTTTTATGATAAATAACTTGTATTAAAAGTAATTTAAATTCACTTTTAAGTAATTTTTTTTCTTTCACGTTAGTAAAGTTGCACGATAAAGTTGTTTTATTTTCCTTTCAGACTACTGTCTCACTTGTCTTCCTGACTTCCCGAGTTCTCTCCATCATTGATTTTTCTCCACCACGTTACGTACACCCAAAGTAAACCACTTTTTGACATATTTTCAATTTTGGACTCAAACGTTTGTCACCAATCGATCTCTTTATTCTAATTTTCTACCTCCTCGTTATTGAAATATGCCTACTGATTTCGTTCACTTGTCACTACAGTCTACAAGTCTACTACACCAACAAAGAAAAAAAAAAAAAAAAAAACTGGCATGCCACAAAACCTCATGGCAATGGATAAGTTTCAAAGAAAGCT